TTCATCTTGGTCTGTCTCATGCTACACTGGATGCTATTACATTTAATCATAAAGGAGATATTGAGAGCTGTCTCTATGAGTGTCTTACTAAATGGCTACAGAAAGCTGATAGTGTACAGTACATTAAAGGTGGCCCTACTATCTATTCATTGATATCAGCATTGAGGGAATTAGGAGAGAGTGGAGTAGCTGATGGAATAGATATGGAGAGTGAGTGTAATAAAAAAGAGTATCTTATTTATTTTTTGTTTAGTTCATCCTGCTTGTAGAATTCTTGCTTGTTACACTTCAAACCAAACTCTACTGTCTGCATTACCTCAGCTGGCTATGGTGTTGTCTTCAGAAGTGATTGGAGACATAGCAATGTCTGAAGGAATAGCTTTGTTGATTGAAACAAAGGCCGCCGTTTGTCATAATTATAGAAAACTTGAGGCATTTGCTGATATTTTATGTAAAAAGACAGACACTGCTGAGATAGGAGTTGCTATTAAGAGAGACTACAGTAAGTACATGTATTATAACATATACCAGTAACTAATGATTGTTGTATAGGAGAAGCTTATAGTAGTGATGATGATAAGAATGGTAAGAATTAATTTATTATGTTAACTTTTACACAATTATTTAATTTTTTAGTTGAAGGGTTTGTCACTTCAGATTTTAAGTTCATGCGATTAAATTTGGAGAATGCATTCTTACAAGTGAAATCAATCATGAGGAATCGTGGCAATCCTGAGTCTTTATCTCTTGATATTATCAAACGAATACTAGGTGGATACAACAGTTCATTAAAGCCGCAGTTAGCTCAGCATAAAGATATCAGTGACATTTTACAGTTAGTACGTGATAACAGTTCACTTGATGATATGAGTATGTTGGAGTATTTTATTGACACATTTAATATAGAGGAGGCTAATCCAGTGATTGAGGAATATAAAGAAGCTGTTGAGAAGTTTAAGGGAATAAATCTCAGTCTATGTTTGAATGAAAGTTTTTCAATTGCTTCTCCACTTATGTGTGAAAGGATTATCATTATCATTGATAAAGATGTTAATGAATGCTTACTTAATGATGTCAAGAGACTTTTATCAGCTGTTTTTGAAAGCTCATCACGACATATCAGATTAAATGTTGTTAGAGAGAGCAGTTCTTTCACAATCACTTGTTCCTTCTCTTTGATTTTATCTGAGCAGTTAATTGAAGCTGCTCTTAATAATATTGATGTATTGAAAGAAAACAAAGTGAAGAGATTAACCATTGGATACTGTACTGTGTATGAGGTAAATGGAGTTAATTTAACATTGCATGTACATGTATATTAATTTGCAGGAATTAAACATACTTGACACCTTTGTTCCTACTACTACATCATGTAACTAATTTAATTGTAATGTAAATGTATAATATAATGTTTTCCACATAATAATAGATGAACAGCAGTTACTATCAACTAGTAGTGGTTTATTGAAACAATTAAAGCTGTCGTTCAGTATACAAGTAAGAGTTGTACATGTATTTACATGTACAACACTATTAATAATAAAGGCTTCATGTCTTGTATCACTTTGTGATACTTTTATTTCATAGGAAAGTAGTATTGAAGAAGCAAATTTTTTGAAGGAAGGACTGGATGCTACAAACATGATGCTGAAGACCAGTATAGCAGAGAATGAGAAATTGAAAAAAATATTAGAAGAGCAACTTGAAGTAGTGCATTACATGAATGAATCAACCATACTCATTTCATAGGAAAAAGTGACAATAAAGAAAGCACTGGATACTAAAAACAAGATGCTGAAGGCCAGTATAATGGAGGGTGACATATTGAAAATAGAAACAGGTAGGAATCGTAATTGGTAATATTTTATTTAATTATTTTATTATTAGCTCATACTTCTAGTCAGTTAGAAGAGAAAGTATTACTTTTAAGAGAAAGTAAAGAAGTTAGTGAGACTGAATTAATACTTTGTTGTTAATATAATCATAATAGGAGAATAAGACATTTAAAGAAATAAAGCAATTATTAGAAGAGCAGCTTGAAGAAGGTATTAATCTATTAATCATAATAAAGTAATGGTGTATAAAATTGTAACATTAATTACCGTATAGCGGGAAATTTTTCGGAGGGAGTTAAATTTGACGAATTTGGCATTTTGATAGCCATTTGCCAAAATGAAAGCCGCCATTTTGAGCCATTATTATACAAATGCTCAATGGCACGTGGCCGCTATTTCACCCAATTAAAATTTGCCAAACTTAAGTCCCTCTAAAATTTCCCGCTATACAGTACCTCGTGGTAAACTATTTTATACCATACAGCTCGTGCAAAGTTTTAAAAGGCTAGTTGTTGCAAAAATTGATTCAGCATGTCTGCTGTCTCAAGGCTGGTTTACAATATTACGTTAGTCCTGATGTTATGTTGACACTGAATTAGAATCTGGTTCTATTCTAGCAGAAGGCATGCATCAAAGGGTCAAATCGCCCACACTTTTGATTAAAAATTGACAGTACATTGGCCCAATGTCATATTGTAAACTAGCCATTATACTGTATTTAATTTTCAAAAATTTTAGTTTTCAAAAAACTGTGAACATCCTTAACAAATTTTGTCCTGTTTGTTAATTTAGAGAATGAACTTACTCATAAACAACTTGAGGAACTTCAAAAGCAGTTAATGGAAGAGAAACAAGCATCCTTCAGTTTAATGAAACAGAAAGAAGTTGCTCTAAGAGAGAAAGAGGAATTACAAATAAAGATTGATGATCTTCAACAAGAATTAGAACTACAGCAAGCCAAAGATCACAAGGAAGCATCAGTTCAGTGTGAATACACTATCACTGAGTCAGGTATGTGTGTGTGTATACATTGTAGTACATGTATATCATTAGTTTGTGTTTCAGTGTTTTAAATATACACATTATTTTTCTGTTTATAGAAGTACAGAGTGAAATACAAAACATTAAAAATGAAAGTGAAATATTTCAAAGTATGTGTACACACATTATTAATTACTAGTTAATGACCTCTTCTTATAATTAGAACAAAGGAAAGCATTGATACTGGAGAATGAAAGATTAAGGTCATTAATTAAAGATCATAATGGTATAATTATTATTAATAATTAATAATAAATGTATTGTATAGTACCAGTACAAAATAAAGAAGAGACTGAGATATTACAAGAGACTGAGACTGTACATACATGTACTTATATCAGTAAAGGTTAGTCCAGTACTCTAATATAAACTATATCTACTGATAGACCACATGAATGATTGTATAGTACACAACCAAAAGCAATCATGCCTGAATCAGCAATATTGCCCAAAATGAACGAATCAAGTCTGATATCAGTACTGGTACAGTCCTGACAAGTATCATTGCTGATCATGTCTGATGCTCTGGCCTGAACCAGTGCAAGACCTTTTCATGATTGTGTCGCAACTGATTTCATGACTGTATCGTGACTGATTGCCCAAAATACATGATCCAGTACTGATTTCATGACTGATTCAGGCTAGTATCATCCTGATTCAGACTCCAAACTTTTGGTTGTGTACACTAGTTGATATTAGTAGTTACCATATTTGCAGTATAGGAATTTCTAGTGATTGGTGGGTGGAATTTGTGGCTATACATGTACATATAGTTACATCATAATTGGACTCATGTACATGTATCTATATTGTATAATGGTTTTAATTTTTATTTTGGTGACTTTTTATTAAATTGAACAAGATTTGTCCTCTAAATTACGTGCTACAGCCTACATGTATATAATTTTAAAGACATTGTTTATTATTATTATTATTATTATTGTTATAGGTGACATATCCCAATTATCAGTGATGCTGGAACCAGTTAAAGATGACTGGTATCATATTGGACAGTGCCTTGAAGTGAAGGAATCAGTGTTAACTGAAATCAAAGAGATGACACCAGTTGATTCAAGATTAACTCATGTACTTGAGACCTGGTGTCATGAGAAGGATAGAACAATAACTGAACTGAAGGAATCATTGAAAAGAATGAATAGAGATGATATACTGGAAGGTAAGGATTAGTGATTATTATTAATTGTATTCATGTACTGTACATTGTCATTCACTGTAGGTTTACATGAATTACCTACTGGACAATATACAATGAATAATGATGAAGAATACGATATTAATGGTATGTAGTTGTTTGTGAAGCTACTGTTGACATGTTTATTAATTATCATTAATATTATTTGTAGTAAAAGATTCAAAGGATGAAGTTGAGACTCAAATTGAAACTAAAAACAAAGAAATACAAACAATACAAACAAGTATGTAATTATTTATTTATTTATTATTACTTTTATACTTTAGCTCTTGACAAAGAAATTCAGTTCAACTATCTTGTACCATCACAGGGTTAGTCCCTGTAATATAGTACACATTCTCGGACCAAATTTTGCCAAAATGAGAAGAAGAGAATTCACCATTTTAAATTTCTTTTAGATGCATATACACGTTTTTATGTTTTGTTTCAAGTTTGAGCTGGTTTAAATCAATATTAACTTTTTTACAGATTTTTAAAGTTGCTCCAAAATTGGACAAAAGTCCTTGTACTATATATAGTACAGTGTCTCTGGCCAAATTTCACCAAAATTTAAAATGAAAAATTTTCCATTTTTATAATTTTTTCTGGTGCATATACAAGTACCATATATTCTTAAATAAAAGCCCGGGTGTTTATTTCCTAAAATGGTATTTGGACCTCGAAAAAAATAAAAAATAAAAAAAATCTTTGGCCCAGAGCGGGATTTGAACCCATGACCTCATGGACCTCGAAAAAATGAAAAAATCAAAAAAAAATTGGCCCAGAGCGGGATTCTGGGTCCATGACCTCATGTACTTGACTAGAAACTTGCAGGTAGCATCCACAAGGCTACTGAGTTACTTCTAAGCTAGATTTGCGTATTTATAATTCAATCCTATTGCTACCCCGGCGTTTATTCGCATCCGGCTTCTATTTAAGAATATACAGTACTTATGTCATGTTTCAAGTTTGACTGGGTTCCGATCAAAATTAAATTTTTTATAAATTTTTAACTCCAAAATCAGGTGAAAGTCCTTGACATAGCCTTGGGCCAACTTTCATCAAAAAATAAAAAGTATGGAATTTTCCACTTTTATTACATTTTCTGATGCATATGCATGTAATAATTTTGTGTAGAAATTTTCAGCTGATTCCAATCGCAATTAGATTTTTTACGAATTTTTAAAGTTGCTTCATGTACTGTACATTGTCATTCAGTGTAGCTTTACATGAATTATGGTTCATTGTCTCATCTTTGTCCATAATTACATACACATTTTAACAATACATAATTTCACGTGTTATACTTTCCTACAGATAATTTGGAAGGTCTGAGTGAGTCCCAAATAGCAGGGAAGAAGTTGTTCTTAGTTCAAGGAGACAAACCTCAACTGATGAACTGGGAGGAGTATGGACTGAGGATTAGTGTACCAGAGGATAGTCTATCAGCATCAGAGACTGTAGAAGTATCAGTACTAGCTCTTGTAGGAGGACACTTCAAGTACATATACTGTACATGTAGTAATGTCTGTATAGTTAGTG